GGAGCTTATAATGAGTCCTTGCGTGATGTTAAATACAGGTCAAGTGTTGGTTATACAGGAGGAAATACAGGTGTGAGACACGCAGATACAAGAACATAGGAAAATACAAAGAAGGAGTGACAATTAGATACATGCGATAATAACTTCCCAGCCCAGGAACATAGAGCAATTCATTGAAGTGATTTGTACACCTCTGTATTTATTAGAAACCTGAGGTGCTTGAGCTCTGAATTTAATGTATCCCCTGCAGGTTTTGAACCCACATGCCTTGGTTTCCCATGCCAAGGTGCTACTGAGTGGCTGCATTAACCATTCAGCCACCGGGGCACAGAGAACAGATTTACTAAGAAAAAAATAATAAAATTTAGAGAGATTTATATCCGACTGCTGAGTAGAGAGAGAGAGCTTTATAAGCTTCTATAAATAGAGTATATAATAGAGAGATTAAGAAAAAGAGTCTTTACTTTATTTATTTAAAATCAGAATATCTCTGTACATACTATCTAAATAAATTAAAATAGAAATTTGAGAAGTCACAGATAGATTATTATTATTATTATTATTATTCTTTCATTATACTTATATACAAGCGGAGCTTATGATGAGTTCTTGTGTGATGTTAAATACAGGTCAAGTGTTGATTATACAGAAGAAAATACAGGTGTTAAGATCATATTAAGATAATAAGAACATAGAAAATACAAAGAAATGATAATTAAATACATGTGATAATAACTTCTCATCTCAGAAATATAGAGCAATTTGTTGAAGTGATTTGTACATCTCTGTATTTATTAGAAACCTGAGGTGCTTGAGTTTCAGATTTAATGTATTCTCTGCGGGTTTTAAACTCACACACCTTCATTTCTCATGCTAAGATGCTACTAGATGGCTGCATTTATCATTCAGCTATCAGAGCAGTCACAGACAGAGTCAGTAACAGTCTTTTTAAGAGTTTTAAAGCTAATATCTGAATCTGTTATTTTCTCAATGAAAATGTATACTTATAAGAAGAGACTGTTTCACAGTACTACTACTCTATAAGTATGAAAAATATTAATAAACTCAGAATCTCAGATCACTGTAGTATTTCTAAAGCTTATAAAGTGAATAAGTTAAGTGATAAAAACTAAGAATCTACTCTTATAATAAACAGAGTATAAGAACTCAGATCTGAGAGTTAAGAGACTTATAAAAGTTTTCTTTGAATTACAAGATTTTGATGAAGCTTGAAGAAGATTTATAAAAACTATAATTATTATAAATATTATAGATAACATGTATTTAAAACTTGTATAACTTTAAAAATATAATTCACACATAGCTGTCTGTGAGTTAGGTTTATATTTTCAATCAGTGTTAATAGACCTACTTACAGAGATAGAATTAATTAATACTGTAAAGTTAATTAGAGAAGATAAGCTTATCTATAGAATAACTTTATAAATGTCTGAGAACTTCACAGTTATGAAAACTGAGTTTCAGATATCAGAGAAATACTGAGATCTTACAGAGATATTCAGTTCAGTTAAGACAGCTATGCTTTTATCTCACTATAAGAAGAATCTGATAATAGATTTAATAGAAGAGTAGAAACTCTTCTAAGAATTAATCTATAAGTTCTCTTATTATAAAACAGAAGCTCTGTAAGCTTATATAAAGAAGAATCTGAAGAATGACTTTATTTCATCTTTACAGATCTCTGTGAAAGTCTCTGTGATATTTATAAAAAAGAAGAATAAAGATCTCAGATTGTATATAAACTATTATAATCTGAACTTCAAGATTATAAAGAGTCACTACTCTCTATCTCTGATTAAGAATATAATTAATTATCTTACAGAAGCTGTTATATTCACATAACTGAATATAATTAATATATATATATATAGCTATGAATACAGTCTGAGAATGAATAAAAGACTATCTTTAGAATCACACTGAGATTATTTAAAAATTTAGTAATGTCTTTTGATTTGACTAATATCTCTGTAATATTTCAGTCTTTTATTAATAAAACACTTTATATATATCTGAATATCTTTATAATAATATATCTGAATAATATGATAATATACTCTGTGAAGAAGAAAGAACACACTGAGTATATATAAAATATATTAAAGATCTTAGATGAGATAGAACTGTATATTAAGCTTATAAAGTATAACTTCAGTATCTATCAGATTAATTTTCTGAAATATGTAATTACTATAAATAATATTCAGATAAAATCTTTATAAGTTAAGACTATTCTATTATAACTGAAGTTAACTAGTATTTATAAGATTCAGATCTTTCTTAGCTTTATGAATTTCTATAGATAATTTATCTTTATATTTATAAAAATCTTCTTAACTCTTACAGATATACTGAAGAGTGAAAATAAAAATTAGTTATTCTATAAATAAAGAATGAAAAGATTATTAAGAAGAAAGAACTGTGAGAACTTTTTTATATCAGAAGCTTATAAAATCTCTATAAGATTAAAACAGATATTTATAGATATAATAATACTGTTTTACTTTGATTTCTTACTCTTAATCAGATTAAAGACAGATATCTTCTTCTTTACAATTTCAGAAATAGTCTTATAACTATAGTTAAATAAGAACTGAGTTTCAGTGATCTTTTTCTTATAGAAGATATAATCTGTGAAGATTAATTATAATATTTATAATCAGAAGCTTCTTATAATAGTAAAATTCTTCTATTACTAATATCACTACTTTAAGAATCTTATAACAGTATTACTATTAGAACTGATTATAATAACTTATAACAGTTTACTTTAATCAAGAAACTTTCATAGTAGCAGATTCACTGAGCTCAGAAACTGAGTAAGTTCTGATTCAAGATAGAGTATATTAAGAAAACTAAGAACTTAGCAGATAAACTCTCTCACAGATCTGACTATATTAAGAAGTCTAGAGTGATAGATACAGAGAGACTAGAGAAGATAGAAAAGCTTTATAAGATACTCAGACTAAGTGTTATAAAGAAATTAACTGAAGAGTCTTTCAATTCTCTGTAAGAGAAGAAGAAGAAGAGAGAGCAGAAGTCTGTATAACTACTCTCTATAACACTGAGAGTCAATACTCTGAGAATCTTTATGAAGATTCTTGAAGAGAATATCTATAATCTGAAGAGTTTACAGACTTTGAGAAATACTGTAGAAGATCTGATGTAAGAAAAAACAGAGTATAAGTCTTTATAAGATTTTCTATTCAGATTGTTAGAACTGTAACTGAAGAATAAATATACTCAGTATATTTAGAAACTACTTATAGTAGAGATCAATTCTACAGAAATAAAGAATTGAAAAGACTTAAATAATCTCTTATAAAGAGAGAACTGAATTTATATATCTATAAATAAGTTTCTATATATAGAACTTATTAAAAGGTAGCATGACTCTTCTCTAACAGATTATTTTATAGATACTAGAATATATAAGTCACTTATAAGAAAATACTTCTAACTGAAGATATAAGAACTTATAAAGAAGATAGTGAATTCTTATACTATTTATCAGAATTTGTAGATAGTGTAGTTTAGATTATATAAAGAACTTACTTCTCTATTCATGTCATAGAAATCTTGAAAACAGCTAGAAATGAACACTCTTATGAGTCTTTCTGAAAGTAAGAACATATATAATACCTGTTTTAACAGTGTGCTAATAATAGTAGGTTACTTTATCAAGATAACATACTTTATACTCACTTATAAGAACTTAAAGTCAAAGAATTTAACTCATATTTTCATCTATAATATAATTCAGTTATATGAATTATCTGTAAACATTGTCTTAGATAGAGAATTAATCTTTATAAAGAAGTTCTGATCTGATCTGATAACTATACTAAAGATATTATAAGATCTAAGTATAACTTTTCATTAACAGACAGATAATCAAATAGAATACTTAATAAGTATATTAAAACAGTATCTGTAATACTTTGTTAATTATAATCAGAATGACTGAGTGTAT